GCTGCCCAAGAAGACCGAGAGCCACCACAAGGCCAAGGGGAAGTGAAATGTTTGCAAAACCAACAGTCCCTCTTGAAAATCAAAGGCTCTTTTAAGAGCCACCCAAATTTTCTGGAAAGCGCTGAAATACTTAAAAACCATAGGTGACGTGTTTATTAAGCCTTAGCCATTTGATTACACGCAAATCTTGTTAACACGTAACCTGCTTTAAAGTTTGCTATTTTAAAAATTGGGTAACTCCTCCCGTTCTTGCCACAGTGTTCATTTCCAATTAAAATGTTACTTACATCTCCTATGGTATAAAATTAGATTCATGAAACAAATTACATAAAACGTTTGCAAATGCACAATCACAATTACATGACTTAGGGATGTAAGCTATGTAAATGACAGAATTATAGTAATTGAGACCAAAATATCAACACGTTGAGACTGTTTAATATACAAGTGTACAGTTTACATACAAATGTACGTAATTACATATATACTATATTCAAACTTGCGGTCAGAAAGTCTTCAAACGTATGAAAGAAATGAGAGAACAAAGGAGAGATACCTGACCAATCACATGTCATGGCGGGCTGTTTAAATTTTATGGCAGCCTGCATTCTTACTAAAAATTATTTTACCTATTCGTTTTTGCCTTTTCACAAAAAAGCAATGAATTAAGTACACTCACATCAACTCTAAATGAAATCTCGTTTTTATGAACTCAATTTCAAGTAAACTAGGAGTAAATATAAAGAAATACATTTTGATTCTATATTCAAATCTTAGTGGAAATCCAATCATTTCTCGCGAAAGCAACCGGAGAACCAATTAGATCACAGCGCGGGACCTACGAACCAGACTGGTCTATAAATACCGTCAGAACCGACAACTTGGTACTCTCCAGTCCGTTTCCTCTTCTGTTGTTTGTCATGGCTCGCACGAAGCAGACGGCCCGCAAGTCGACCGGCGGCAAGGCCCCGCGCAAGCAGCTGGCCACCAAGGCGGCCCGCAAGAGCGCGCCGGCCACCGGCGGCGTCAAGAAGCCGCACCGCTACCGGCCCGGCACGGTGGCCCTGCGCGAGATCCGGCGCTACCAGAAGTCCACCGAGCTGCTGATCCGCAAGCTGCCCTTCCAGCGGCTGGTGCGCGAGATCGCGCAGGACTTCAAGACCGACCTGCGCTTCCAGAGCTCGGCCGTGATGGCTCTGCAGGAGGCGTGCGAGGCCTACCTGGTGGGGCTCTTCGAGGACACCAACCTGTGCGCCATCCACGCCAAGCGCGTCACCATCATGCCCAAGGACATCCAGCTGGCGCGCCGCATCCGCGGGGAGAGGGCATAATCCAAGGCTATTTTCTCTGGACTTTGAAAAAGGCTCTTTTCAGAGCCACCTACTTTTATCAAAAAAAAGTGTTGTAATGCTTTCCTTACATCTCCCTTCGTGAGGGTCTTCTCTTTCAAGTAATACTCAAGCCATATTAGATGCATGCAGTGAGTTTTATAACAATCTTGTTTGGATTCATAGTAATTGTGTGTAAGGTTACATAATCCATCGCTTAATTTTAGGAAGATACTCACCTGACAGGATGTCTTTCAAACTCTAGTTGTTTGATAAGGGCACAGAATGGCTTTTAGATATTAAAAGATAGGAACTTCCCTATTTACCGGCAGCCTTCTATCCTTTTGCAGTGTGAAAGAAAAGGGCAATACTTACTATTAGCACTAGAGTCAAAGTCTAGGTGAATCAAGTGAAATGCATAGTTTTTTAATGGGTCTCCAATCCACTGGGTAGGCCTCAGTAGCTTAAAAAGCAAATACAAACCTGATTTTTTTTCACATGGAGAAATTGTTTTTCATGCCCTTACATTATGCTCTATCAAAGTATAAAATTCGAAATAATAAGCCAAGTCTCATATAGTGAGTTTTTCCAATATATAAGTCATCAATAAGGGACGATCAGGAAGATAAGCCTAGTACAAAAGAGTATAGGACATTATCAAGACTATCGATAGTTCAAGAAAGTGAAGGAAACACAATATTCCTCTCTGACATAAAAATCTGGGGTTCAAGGCAGTTAAGCAACAATCACAGGAAAAGCTCCCTCCACCCTTCCCGCTTTCTGCCCTAAGGCAGGATATAAAGGCTATTCTGGAGACCTCTAGAATTTTAACAGCCCAGAGAGACACCAGAGGAATCAGCAAACAAACCTTCCTGTTTCCTCCCATATATTCACCTTCCCAGGATTTTCAGTCCTTAAAAGCCTAAAACTGCCTTCTTTTGTCCTGTCACTTCTCAATGTATCTATTTTTCTTTTTCAAGATGCTGTATAAGCTGCAGTTCTAAGGTACCTCTTTGAATTCCCTGGGTTTCTCCCAGGTGTCTATGAAATATACGTTAATAAACATCTGATTGTTTTTCTCTTGCTAATTTGTGTTTTGTAACAGAGGCCCCAGCCAAGAACCAAAATGAATGGAGGGAAAATTTCCCTCCCCTACAAAAGACTGAAATAAAACCAAAAGAGCAAATTTAGATAAAAGAGGGTTATTGTCCTATGGCACAATTACAACCTCTAGATAATCTTTTCTACTGACATAATTTCCATCTCCAACAGACAAAACTCACTGAAATTATCAACATCCTACGAATTATCTAAATCGTCATAGATTTTTCTTAGACACTAGACCCTAGACCCTAATAAATAGTCAAACAGAAGCACATTCTCTTAAAATAAGTTAAAAAACACTTGGACAGGCCTTTCAGACTGTGCTCAATATGACCACGGAAAGAAATGCAGTCTATCCCTTTATGTCAACCTGATATTTAGGTATTTCTTAACAGGTTTCAGAGCTGTCCTAGTCTGTAACCAAAGTCTTTTTCCCTTGGCCTCAGTGACCCCATGCCTGATGCAGAATCTACTTTCCCATCTGCACTTTCAAACTTCCTGCTCATCAGTGGTGATTTGAAGTGCTACAGAGGGACTAGTGTTGAATTTCCCAGGCCTGAAGAAGTAGAGAGGACCAGCAGCTTTATGACACCCTGTTTATCTCCAATCAAGTCAAAGTCATATGACATCACTTGTTTACCTTTCTTCAAAAAGGTGAAATTACCATTCAGAATATAGAAGACAAACATGTGACAAAGAGTTTACTTAAACCATCATTGACTGAAAAAGGTAAAATGCTCTGATTGGTTCAAAGAATATTTAAGAGATTAGGGTACTTATAAACAATTTAATGCAGAAATATTGCAGTAGGATTGTTGAATGAGGTTAAAACAAAATTAATAATGTCCAAGAAGCCATAAATCTTTGGAGAGAGAGAGCCGTTCCTCCCAACAGAAATTATTTGCATCTCTACCAAATAAACCCCTGCTAAATTTGTTACTTTCAGTCAAGGGTCAGTGAGATGATCAAAGTCCATTGTCCTACTATATTTGTGTGGTCTTTAGCATTTTATGATATTAAACTTCATGGCCCATTCTTTTTTCTTTACTTCCAAATCTCAGATAATGTGTCTCATACTGTGAACCTTTGCTGGAAAAAAATACAAACATAGAACCTGCAAGATAAATTTCTATGAAACTTCATGATGTGACTCCTTGACATTCTCATTATACCCATTAATCAAATAGTAGACACTGTAACTTTGTTTCTAGACTCCAAAGTAATGGACTTGATTTTCTTATCTGTCTCTCTTGGTCTTTACCCAGATTCTAGAAACAGTAAACCATTCTCTAAGCTCTCCCTTCCATGAGATGCTTTTGTACTTCCACAGTGATTAATTTGCTTATTTTTTTTTAATACCAGAATATATAGTCTCTTGTACAGAGGCTTAAGCTCTTTTGGACAATAATTGGGTTAGTAAACATTTTTGGATTCTCTCTCTCAACAAAACATACTTTCTGAAAAAAAACATTAGCACAGAATTTCAGCAAGTCTCCGTCTCCTGACACCCTGCCCTTGAAGAATTCTAAGGTCAACAATTTTTCTAGCTATCCATCTTTTCTTGCTTTGATGAGTAATGTTTCCTTTGACAAGCCTCCCTTTGTTCCCTAATGTCATTTTGTTATTTTTTTTTAATTTTGTACAATGCTTCATTTGAGTTTGGTGCCAGTCTCTGTAACTGGGTTTCTTAGAAATATAGATGGCCCTTAAACAAAGGTTAGGGGCACCAATCCCTTGCACAGCTGAAAATCCAGGTATAACAGTTGACCCCCAAAACTTAACTGCTAATAGCCTACGGTTGAACAGAAGCCTTACTGATAACATAAACAGTTGGTAAATAAATAGTTTGTATATGATATGTATTAAATACTGTATTCCTATAATAAAGTAAGCTAGGGACAAAAATATGTTATTAAGAAAATCATAAAGAAGAGATAACACATTTACCATGCTGTATTGTGTTTACCAAAAACAATCTACATATACGTGGGCCCATGGAGTTCAAAGCACTGTTTTTCAAGGGTCAACTTTACACTGAATGTCCACAATATCCCAAAACCCATGACAGCAAAGTTTGGTAAGAAATCAAGTAACAGAGAGAGGAAATGAAGAATCCTGGAGCAGTGCCACCTATAAGAAATAATGCAAAACACATATGTAATTTAAAAATTTCCAGTAACCACATTGTAAAAAGTGAAAGGATGCAATTATTTTAATAGTATATTTGATATAATTCAAAATGTCCAAAATATTTTTGTTTCAATATGTAATCAATACAAAGACATTAGTAATGCAGTATTTACATGCTTTTTTTCATCCCACACCCTCTAAATTGGGTATCTATTTCATTCAATCTGTACTAAATTTTTATTGTAAAAAACTTGATTTGCATTTCAATACCATAAACTTTACTGTTGAAAAATTGAGCTCACATGCCCAAGTTCTTCAAACATACCCCAAACATTGCTATAACTGGACAGAGTAATAGCTTTTAAATTTAAATATTTTTATTAAATAAAATTAAAAATTCAGTCCCTCACAGCATCAACTATATTCCCAATGCTCAAAAGTGGGTCCAGATCACTTTTATCACACAATGCAATCCTAGAAGGAATTGTGTTTTTGGTGTGAAGGTGGTGGTAAATTGGGAGAGTATATAAATTTGAATGTAACCAGGCAAATTTAGCACTGACCCCTAAACTCAAAGATTTGCACTTACAAAGATATAGAGCTTACAAAAAAATAAAAAATAAAAACTGAACATAAATCCAGATTGCAAAATACCAGACTGAGAGATTTAAGAATATCAGGAAGGAAGTCAGTCCCGGGGTATGAGACTGCATTTCCACAGGCAAAGTTGTTATCACTGTGTTCAACACTTGACCTAAGATTTACCTTTTGATTTTCAAACCATTTTTGTGATTTTGGGATTAACATTTCCATTCTACAGAGGAACAAACTAAAGTGAAATTGAGAGAACACAAGTCACAAAACAGGCCCTGGACCCTAGAAGGTGAAGGGTAGGGAGGGTCCAGGGCTCAAGCAACAGACAGGGACCTCCGAGGAAAAAGTACCCCACCAGGAAGACGCGCGTCCGTGTCCCACCGGGGACGTGAGTTCTTTCCTCCCTCCGTGAGACCATCTTGCCAACATCACTATTCTACCTTGACTTAAAGTGTACAAAAATACTTCAAGAGGAGGAGAGAAGCGAAACACTCGACTACATTTCAGATATACGTTTAATATTCAAAGCCAGGGGTAATTTCGTCAACGACTTGCCCACGCTGCGTAAGGATGCTAATGGTTCAAACCTGAGAAACAGATACTAGCTTGGTAGGTGCCATTATTTCAGTCCCTTGAAAAGCAGAGAATTTTTCTTACACGCCCTTAAACAGAGCTTGTCTCAGACAATTCAGGGAAGGAACAGGGAGGGACCCGGGCCGTGGGCCCTCGGCCCCACCGGACGCACAGCCGGGCCCGCAGCGGTGGGCGGGGAAAATCCGCTGCCTCCCCCGCCCCTCCCCCACCAGCCCAGCCTCCTTCTTGGTTCTCAATTAGGTCCGCCACAGGGCTATAAATAAAAAGATCGGTATCCTGTCAAACCAAGTCGGTCAACGGCGTCTTTTTTTTCCTCGGTGAGAATGTCTGGCCGCGGCAAGGGCGGGAAGGGCCTGGGCAAGGGCGGCGCCAAGCGCCACCGCAAGGTGCTGCGCGACAACATCCAGGGCATCACCAAGCCCGCCATCCGGCGGCTGGCCCGGCGCGGCGGCGTCAAGCGCATCTCCGGCCTCATCTACGAGGAGACCCGCGGGGTGCTCAAGGTGTTCCTGGAGAACGTGATCCGGGACGCCGTCACCTACACGGAGCACGCCAAGCGCAAGACGGTCACGGCCATGGACGTGGTCTACGCGCTCAAGCGCCAGGGCCGCACCCTCTACGGCTTCGGGGGCTGAGACTGCCCACAGATTCGGTTTTGGTGAAAAATCCTAAAAGGTCCTTTTCAGGGCCACACCCATTCATTTGAAGGAGCCGGGGACATTGGTGTACTAATGGTCTTTTTCACTTTTCACAGGAACAGGAATTCCAGAATATTTTCTGGTCTCAATTGAAGTGTATATACTATAACTTAATCCTCTTTGCTGCTACTGGAAAGCACTAAACGTCAAAGCAAGGTTATTAAAGGTTTAGTACGAGGCTTTGCCAACATAAGCCTTTCTAGCTTTTAAGTGGTCCCATACTACTTAATTAGCAATTGCTTCTGATTTTTAAGAATTTCCTTGGCATGATTTGGCAATCCCAATGACCTTCACACACTAATAGGTTAGGTTTTTAAAATCTAGTTACTATTTTCTGGAAGTAAAGTGAATACTGAAAAAATTATGTAATCCTCTTATTAGCCTATTCAACTCAAAAAAAATGCTTTTGAGTTTGGTCAGATCAACCAGTAGTTGTCTAACTAGAGAAAGGATTCAGTGAGAAGCTCAGATTGAGCTCCAATGAAGGCACCTAGGAGCAGGCCTAGGTGGCACATGGGTACTTTTCTCCCCCATAAAGCATTTATATTTGGATTATGTAAACTGATGACCAATAAAGTATTTTTAAGCCACAAAGATTTGGGGGTTTGTTACACTGTGTCACACATATTCCCTGATATTCTATAATAAAAGCAACAATGTTAATTCATCTCACAAACCCTCTGGTTTGTCAGCTTTAAAGTCAGAAAGGGAGGTACACAGACTTCTAGCCCTGTGCTGGGACTCAGCCACACAATGTTTTCTCATGTGTCAGTACTTGCAAAGGAAAGGAGGGAGAAGCATCCTCCAAACTAATAACCAGGCAAATTATGTTCAGTGTCTTGGCTTCAAGACAGTCACTGGCAGTAGCCTATTTAAAAGCACTTCAAGGGCGCCTGGGTGGCTCAGTCGGTTAAGCGACTGCCTTCGGCTCAGGTCATGATCCTGGAGTCCTGGGATCGAGTCCCGCATCTGACTCCCCACTCGGCGGGGAGTCTGCTTCTCCCTCTGACCCTCCCCCATCTCATGCTCTCTCTGTCTCCTTCTTTCTCTCTCAAATAAATAAAATCTTTAAAAAAATAAAATAAAAGCACTTCAAGGTATTTGTAGCCTTTCTCCTTACCTCTTAGCACCGATTCCTGCCTTCAGGCAAACTGAACCATAGTAATGTAGGGGCAAGGGGAAGGAGGGAAGTTATTTTAGTCAACTTTCTTTGGGTTCTTAGATGGCTTTTATTTTTCCTGATGGGTCCTGTAATGATGGTCTCTAGGGAGGTCCCCAGGGTCCCCTCCTGGTGTTCACCCTTCTGTGATCTAGCCCCTTGAGTGGGGACATGACCTGTGACTGCTGAGGTGATGAGATTTAATTTTCTGTATATAATCATGTTACCTACCATGTTAAGTATGTTAGGGAACATGTGTCTGCCTCAACTCTTACATGCTGACTTTGACAGACCAAGTATCCAGGCTGGCAGGCCCAAATGAAAAGAAACTGAGGGAGGGGGCTCTTTAGGAAGTGAGGGAGGCCTCCAACTAACAGCCTACAAGCCTTTCAACCAATAGCCAGCAAGAAAGAAAATGGAATTCTCAGCCCCACAACCGCAAACAAATTCAGCCACCCAGTGAGCTCAGAAGATGATATTTCACCAGTCAAGCATCCAAGAGTCCTCTATCCTAGCTAACATCTCAATAGCATCCTTACATAGGACTCGGCTACACCTTGCCCAGATCCACAGAAACTGTCACATAATACATGTGGGTTATTTGAGGCTAGTAAATTCAAGGTCATCTGTTAGGCAGCAATAGAAAACTAATACAGTTAGCCAACACACTTAGCATCTTCAGCAGTCCATGTTGCAGCTAAAATAACAGATATGAAGAACTGAAACTGCAATCTTTATCTAATGGAAGACATATTTAAAAAAGGGAAAGGGGGGCCCTATAGTGGGAACATTCCCTTTCACTACTATGTAACCCTTCATACATATCCCCAACAGTGAAGTGGCACATACGTCCATCCATCACACCTTGCAGGTCGCCCTGATATCAAGCCTATAAACCCTGGTCTGGACTCAACAATACATCTAAGTCATTTTACTTTTAACGGTCAACTTTTAAATAATTTACACATGAAACCTCTTGGTTTCCATCCATATCTTGTGTGATCCCTGCATACCTAGATCTTTTTTTACTCTTGTTTTTTTCATTTTATTCTTTTTTTTTTCTGTCTAAATGAATACAGAGGGAAAAACTGAGGGGAAGAAAAACAAAAAATAAAAAGTAGGTCAAAATTAGGGTTTCAGAAACCAACTCAACACACTATACATCTGTAACAAAAAGGCAAAATAAGGAAAATTAAAAATTGTTATTGCAACCTTGAAGAAGTATCTTTGAAGCAGTCTATATTGGTAGTTAAGATTAAATTATGGGGTCCAGTAATTCCCCAGACCTAATTCAGTCTCTACTATATGATGACTAAAATTGAGAGTTGGTGTCCTTTGTAAAATAATTTCTCAGTGCATGACTTAACGGTTATGAAACACATCCAATTATATTGTTATAATGTAGGCGTTGTATTTAAAACAAGTACATGTACTTAAGCACAGGCATGTACAAAACCCAAGCACATGTACTTAAGCACAGGCAATCATAAGCTCCAGACACCAACTACAAAATAATTTTAAAATCTAAACAATTAGGCAAAATAGAAGGACAAATTAAAGACTTAATGAACAAACACAAAAAAACAAACTACACTTTTTAGAGCTTTAGCCAAGTTCCTCCTGTACACATTTCACAAAATCCATGCATACCATAAAAGTGTGCTGAGAAAACTTATTACAACTCTCAATATGCAAAAACTGAGTGGCTCTGAAAAGAGCCTTTGGGTTATAAAGCTTGTCTGATGACTGGAGTCGTTTTACTTGGAGCTGGTGTACTTGGTGACGGCCTTGGTGCCCTCGGACACGGCGTGCTTGGCCAGCTCCCCGGGCAGCAGCAGGCGCACGGCCGTCTGGATCTCCCGGGACGTGATGGTCGAGCGCTTGTTGTAATGCGCCAGGCGGGACGCCTCGCCCGCGATGCGCTCGAAGATGTCGTTGACGAACGAGTTCATGATGCCCATGGCCTTGGACGAGATGCCGGTGTCGGGGTGCACCTGCTTCAGCACCTTGTACACGTACACCGAGTAGCTCTCCTTGCGGCTGCGCTTGCGCTTCTTGCCGTCCTTCTTCTGCGCCTTGGTCACCGCCTTCTTGGAGCCCTTCTTCGGGGCCGGAGCCGACTTGGCGGGCTCCGGCATGATAATCTCAAAACTAGAGAAATTGGGACCACCGAAAAAAACAAAGGAAGCCGAAAATCCAAAATATTAATAGCACCTATATACAAACGAAGGCTCTACATTTTCATTGGACCCAATGTGGCCAATAGATTAATAGTATGTAAATTAGGAATTACAAACCTGCTTTTCTTATTGGACGAATAAACGAAGGCTTTCAGGGACACCAATAGGTTGATTTACAATACCGCTTCATTACTGTAAGTGCGTTCACTAAAACACACACACACACACACACACACACACTCCCAATAAAACCTTATTTTTATAATTTTGAAAATAAGTAGAAACCTTCTAATTTGGACGCGAAAACCAAGGAAGGAAATCCTATTATCGAGCCCAGTCCAGTCGTAAGTTTAGCTACTTTGGCTTTATCACAAATTGTCCATGACTTCCGGCAATAATACCGAGATGCCAGACAATTACTATTGTTAAGAAATCTTCTCAAAAGACTCGATCGCCGCCATCTTTTTCAAGGTTCCACATTGCAAACATTTTCTCAGGATTCTCGCCATTACACCCCGGCTCACATTTTTTTAATTCCCCAAAAGCAAACAGCCCAGTGCAATCACCAGTTTGAGTCAAACCCGGTATTAAAGAGCCCGGGGCTCCAGGATACTGCAATTTTAAAACGTGAATCCTGAAATAATGAAATTCTTTACGTCTTAACACTATGACCTAGGAGACTATACTACAATGAACTAGATATTCGCTGTCAGTATAACGAAATAGAACTCACGAGATACTTACACAGTGGAACTTGCAAATAGATAAGGACAGTAAATACCACCCAGATGAAAACGGGATAAATAGAAAATGGCGGACATTTTGTTAAGAGAAACTGTAAAGCGCTTTCTCTTTCGAACATATTCTATTTTCTCTACCGAAACAGGAGGAAACTTCAAAATTATTATTAACGATAATTAACGAGTTGTGAAGCACCCTCAAAGAAACAAGTAACTTAGAATTGATTCTTTTTTTAAGGGGGCTGGGAAGATGTCGGCTAATTGAAATCGACCAATCAGAAACGCGCACGGGTCCGCTAAGCCAATGCGAATCACTCCCGCACTTCCGGGACCGCGCGGCCGTTGACTCCGGGAATCGCCCGCAACCCAATCAGGGGGATTCTGTTCGTGTATAAAAGCAGGGCCGAGAGCCTCGTTCGGTTTCTTCCCTTCGCCGCTAAGCGATGGCTCGCACGAAGCAGACGGCCCGCAAGTCGACCGGCGGCAAGGCCCCGCGCAAGCAGCTGGCCACCAAGGCGGCCCGCAAGAGCGCGCCGGCCACCGGCGGCGTCAAGAAGCCGCACCGCTACCGGCCCGGCACGGTGGCCCTGCGCGAGATCCGGCGCTACCAGAAGTCCACCGAGCTGCTGATCCGCAAGCTGCCGTTCCAGCGGCTGGTGCGCGAGATCGCGCAGGACTTCAAGACCGACCTGCGCTTCCAGAGCTCGGCCGTGATGGCCCTGCAGGAGGCGTGCGAGGCCTACCTGGTGGGGCTCTTCGAGGACACCAACCTGTGCGCCATCCACGCCAAGCGCGTCACCATCATGCCCAAGGACATCCAGCTGGCGCGCCGCATCCGCGGGGAGAGGGCCTAAATGTGATTTCCTGGTTCCGTGCCAACTTTAAACCCAAAGGCTCTTTTCAGAGCCAACCATTTTATTCTATGACAGAGACCGTGGCACTCAAGGTCCGGTTTTTGATAGAACCCTACCTCCACCCTGGCGCAGGCCTGAAAGGCCTTTGGGGACCGTCTTGGAATTGACCTCTCAAGAAGCCAGTAGTTTTTCTAATAGTGGTTGCACAGTTTTATTCTAAAAGATCTGTTTTCCTTTGCCTTAAACGCAGGTCTGGCACATTTAGGTTTTGGCTTTCAGGTTTCTCGGCTTTATCCCTAACTTTGGAAATTACTAGTTTCACCTTTTGTATTGTGGATGTTTTCTTGACTCTTGCACCCGAGGTGCTCTTCGGAGTTAACTTCTTGGGGCTGTTGCAAGGGTTGGCCCGCTGTGGTTTTGGGGTCTAGACAGCCTTCGATTGAGCCTTCAGGGCTTCCGGTTGTCCTTCCCAGAGTTCGCCTTGTTGAACTTGCACCGACCCCAAGGGGCCAGAACGCTTGGTCTGCACTTAACAGAATCTGGGGGCCCAACTCCCTAGCGACCGCCAGAACCTTGAGGAGGGTGATCAAGGATACACCTCTGCCTCTTATAGGGAGCTAAATCTTAGGTTAGTAGCTGGGGGACCGAAAGGTAAAAGCGCAGCTTTCCCTGCGGACTTCTTGGTGTTCCTCTTTACCGGGGTCTCTAATACAGGCTAAGCAACCAACAAGAGCGGCTTGGGTGGGTCTCAGAAAGTACCTCTGGGAATGAAGAACTCCGGGATTTAGGATCCTTTTTAGTGACACTTTTTTTCCCCCCCTAAGATTTTATTTTCAGTAATCTCTTCACCCAGTGTGGGGCTGGCTGGGATTTACCACAAGAGTCCCATCCTCCACAGACCGAGCCAGCCGGCTGCCCCTTAACTGATACTCTTAAAAGGGGCTCTCAGTATTCCTAAATTCTGTATATTAACCTCTAAATTAAATCTCATGAGAGTACTTCATATTTGTCAGTAAAACATGGCAATCCTTTAGAAGCTGGATAGTTTTCTTGCAGAAAATACTCTGTTCTCTTCTATCCCTACAAGAAAATGGGTTTCTGTGATACTCATTAAACAGATATTCCCTTCCCATGGAAATAACAGGTTCCTCAGTTTCTAAACTGGTAGCCAAATGGAAGGGAAATCAGGAAATCTGTTCTGAAAGCATTTGGGCAGTTATTTGGAAATGTAGAAGGATGTTTACTAATTGGGATACTGTGCTATTTGGAAGGATTTCATCTATTTAAATGTTTCTGCAAATTTAAGTTTGGAGATGGGAGAAGTTATACTTAACTATAGAATTAAGAGGCCTCTGTCCATTTTTTTATGGGCTGTTTCCCCTCAAAGGATCGCGAAGGAAAGAGATTAGTCAGGTGGTACATTTAACAGGGACTAAGCTGTAAATAAATTACACAGACAAGCTAGCCATAGTAGGAAGTCCTGGAGGCTTTATAGAAGAAATTTTTGTTCTTGGAACTCTGTCAGGCATTGAGACTTGAGAATGAGAGAATAGGGACTCTGGGGCCCTATGGAAAAGAGCGGAGCTAACCGTCGCTGCAATCACTGGAGTGCTGGACATTTGTAATGTTGCATAAAGGCATTCATGTTAGACTGTGGTTTCCCATATCCGGTACTTTTTTTGAGATTCTAGCACACTCAGTTTTTTAATGTGTGTTTCTGTGTCACCAAATGTTGGTTGTTAAGACATGAGGACACAGGCTCAGAAAACATCTTGTCATATCATTAAATCCATCAGAACATCTAGAATGGTCTTTTGCCTAAAACAAAGGCTCAGAATTTTTTTTAGTTAAATTGGAATTTAAAATCAAACTTTAGGGCTCCTGGGTGGCTCTGTCGGCTAACGTCTGCCTTGGACTCAGGACTTGATCCTGGGGTCCTGGGATCGAGTCCCACATCGGGCTCCCTGCTCCACTGGGAGCCTGCTTCTCCCTCTGCCTCTGCCTCTCTGTCTCTCATGAATAAATAAAATCTTTTAAAATAATAATAAAATAAATTAAATTAAAACATTATTGGAGAAAACGGGAGCCTAGGTGGCTCAGTCGGTTAAACATCTGCCTTCGGCTCAGGTCATGTCATGATCCCAGGGTCCTAGAACGGAGCCCTGCATCAGGCTCCCTGCTCAGCATGGAGTCCGCTTCTCCCTCTGCCTCGCCCCTCACCCCTGCTCCTGCTCTTTCTCTCTCTCTCACTCTCTCAAATAAATAAATATTTTAAAAAATTATTGGAGAAATAGATTACTGTTTGGTACATTCTTGATTACAGAAATAAAAGACTGATTGAGGTCATGTAATTTTAACATACAACTTTCCTAAATAGAAACAAATTTATTGAGTGGGTCGCAAATAGCCAGAAGTCAGGTATAAGTCTCCAAAATATACGGAAAGTTCAATCATGATCTACTAATATTACCTATTATATACAATTATTATTCTATTACTGCTTTACAGATAAGAAAACTGAAGTAAGAAAGTTTCAGATAGTAAGGGGTAGAGCCAAAACTTTTCCCATTAGGCATTACTATATTAAACAACAGCATCAACGTAATGCTCATCACTTATCCCTGAAGGTTTTATTCCCAGGAAAAGCTGTCAGAGGAAGACTGACATCTTTATCCAAATTCTTTCATATCTGTTAAAGGAAATGGAATGGTTTTGAAAATTTATAGGGCCCTATACGATTGTGAAGTTCTATTATTACTATAATAACAGCCAGTTGCACAGAGATATAACCAATGCACAACAATAAAAATATAACATGACCATGGACAATTTTTAGCCTTCCTACCCACCATTCAAACAATTCTCATGTTTAAGACACACACACACACACAATATTTTTTTTAATTTTAAAAGGTATACATTGAAATAGTAGTACTTGTTATCAAGTTTTTTTAATAAATTTTATTTTATTGGAGAAGGATCACAAATATTATTCAAGTCACATTTCATATGTATCTACTGGTACATTAAGTTGTATATCCATTTTAAGCTAACATTGTTGCTATAACTACATATTTTGTTTAAATGTATAATCTCTGAACGACCAGGAGCTTTCTCTTATGGCAATGACAACTAAAAGTCAACACAATTCAGAAATTCCATTTCATTCTGCATACCCTTCCTACCCCATCTGACCACAGGTAAATATTGAAGTTTTATATCAGGAGACTTTTTTACCATAAAAATGCTATAAATATTTTTTATTTTCTTTTTGCAGTAGCCCCAACACATTGGGCAGCATACTTCAGAAAGTAAGGGAAATAATGTGTAAGTCAAGGCAAGGGGAAAAGGGCCATAAAAGGGGCAGGGAGATTTATTACTCTTGGCTTCCTACATAGAAAAACAGAAAATAAAGTTACTCAATCTATTTAATACCCAGGGATAATCTCACCCATTGGACAGGATTAAAAACTTAGTCCATTCTAATGAGATAATCACTTCACACCCGTCAGAATGGCTAAAAACAAAAACACAAGAAACAACAGGTGTTGGCAAGAATGTGCAGAAAAAGGAACCCTCATGCACTGTTGGTGGGAATGCAAACTGCTGCAGGCACTGTGCAAAACACTATGGAGGTTCATCAAAAATTAAAAGGAGAACTGCCCTAAGACCCAATAATAATCACACTACTGGGTATTTATCCAAAAAATACAAAAACAGTTACTCAAAGGGATACATGCCCCGCTATGTTTATTGCAGCATTATTTACAATAGCCAAATTATGGAAGCAGCTCAAGTGTCCATCATCAACTGACGAATGGATACAGAAGAGGTGATACATACAATAGAATACTACTCAGCCATAAAAAAAGAATACAATCTTGTCATTTGCAACAACTTGGATGGAGCTAGAGAGTATAAGCTAAGTGATGTAAGTCTGAGAAAGACAAATACCAGCTGATCTCAATCATGTGGAATTTAAGAAATAAAACAAACGAGCAAAGTGGGGGGGGAGAGAAAGACAAACCAAGAAATAGACTCTTAACTCTAGAGAACAAACTGATAGTTACCAAAGAGAAGGTGGTTAGGGGGATGAGAGAAATAGGGGATGATGATTAAAAAGTACACTTATCATGATTAAAAAAAAAAAACCTCAGTCAATTAAACACACACACTTAAGAGTAGTGGAAAAACAAGACAAAGAAGAATAACACCCTAAGGTATACTTTAATGAGAGAAAAGAATAGGAGCATTATTAATTTGCCACTGATAATAATGGTACCCAACTGTTAAATGTCATCAAAACACATTATAAGAAGACTTTTTAATTAGGGGAATTTATTCATGGAGAAGGAACTTGAGATGGAATTGGAAAAACTCTCCCAGGTAGAGAAGAGAGAAGAAATGGCAGGTGAACAACTTGTTCCAAAAAAAAAAAACACAAATAAGGCAATGAAAGGTAAATGTGAGTTGTTATTACTGCTAATTAATGCAAGCAGATGGTATTATTATGAAAAAAGACTACAAAGTTCTCACTTGAACCAGAGGCCATGGGGAGCCACTGGCCCTATTCATAAGACCTGTAACAGAATGACCAGAATTTAGGAATTAGGGGCTGGAGACACTGGAATTAGAATGCTGGTTAGGAAACAGTAAGATCATCCCAAGTGTGAGAGGAGAAGGAGAGCATGTGAGAAAGGAGAAAATGTCAGTTGCCTAGACTCTTTAAACATCAATCTGCTTCTTCAGTGACTGACTGGCAGGCATAATCAATGCCTCAACAGAGTGCCATGAATTCGGTTTGCCTCCTCCAGCTGTAAGGAGTCAGGTGATTACTAAGCAGAAAGCAGAAAGTGGTTACTTCAGCCTGGTCCTAAAAATTACTTTTGGCTCAGACCTATGCCATGTGCATAAGTACACTCCTGCGTTTAAGAAAATTTGAACATGCGCTTCACACTTTCCGTGCTAAGACGACCAGTTGATTGATTGGGTTGTGTGGCTCAGAGAGAACTACTCACAAAGGCTCCTGTCTGATGTTTTGCCATCCTCAAGTATCAATCTGTTGGGGTTTTCTAAACCTGGGTTTTTGTCACCATAGTTGGCAGACCATCTTGGTGCAGCAAAAGAGCATCAGAAACCCAAGCATGAGCATTTCAAGAGACCCTCATAGGGAGACTAGGGATGTGGCTAATGGTGAAATATAGTGACTGGGAATGAGCTTCCTGCTCCCTCATCTTCCTGGTGCAGAACACTAAGACGTCTTTAGTGTTCTTGACTCATGATCTGACTGTAACAAAAATTTGGGGAGATGGAAAAAGATTGGAGTAAGTTTTGATGCCCTTGAAACAAAGGCCTGTCCTAGGGAAAGGAATTTGAAGAGTAGACCACAGAGTAAAACTAGTCACTGATTAAATCATGTTTAATATTGTGTCTGATGCATTCCAAAGGGCTTGTGAATTAGAAAACTCACGAAGGGCCTAAAACAGAATCACATGAACTCTACCACCTTCCTGGATGAGCCTAAAAATGAAACCAAGAACTCCACCCCTTTTGTAGTTCATGTAATAGATGGGGCGCAGTGTAAAGAAACAGACCCTAGGAACAAAGAAACTTGTATTTGAGACCCAGGTCCACCATTTACTGACAAGGCGATTCTGCTCATTTCATCTTTCTGGGCCACAATTTTCTTAGCTGTGAAACAAGCATTTTAACTATGCCTAATGCAAAGTCTTTCTAGGGAGGGGATCAGAGTGTTCTGTACACTGTAAGGAACTACAGAAATATTCCGTAGTCATTTTGACCACTCACTGAATACCACATTGTGGCATAATTCCCTTATTCCTCATTGCTCTTCATCAGAAGACTAGCGCTCTCATTCTGGGTAGAAAAGAGCTCACGGGTCTCTTGCTCCCTAACTTTCCCACTCCACACAAACTCTTGTCTTTGAAAAGATTCTTTTGTGTAAATATTTCACATTCCCTCCATTTATCCAGATCTCATTCTCAAACAAGCCACTATCATAAAGATTTTTTAGGACTCTTAATGGAAAGAAGAAATTATGGTTTGCAGCTGCAATCGGGGAAAACCGAACTACTAGGTAGAAGAGCTAGAAAGATACTGGCAGGCTATATCACCCCACCCTGTTGTGCGAAAGTTTAGTAAATTTCAGTCAGCTATTAACCAATAAGCATAGGAGAAGGAGGCTGTAAACAAAGAAACTAAGTGAAAAGGTATTTCAACTGTGAGGTATTTGTGTGCCCACTGGAGATAAATTCACCAGTGTATGACTTCTTTCCTACTATAGATTCTTTGGATAGTCAATAGACACCTTCTCAATAGTAAAGCAGACAAGATAGGAAAGCGACATTAAAATTGCTATCATATTATTTCTTTTAAGTATGTGCATATAATAATGTGTTTCATTAGGAACACATATAACTAGAAGAAGCAGGTAGAATAATGAATGTCACTGTCAAGAGCTCAGAATAAGTGTAAACTTTATTTCTAGATATCTGCAGTACTTCAAGTGATAAGAAAACATCTGTGCTTGCCATTGCTGAAAAAGCCACAGGCACTTGGAAAATCCATTTTGATTAGCTGTCTATACACAAATGAAGTAAATGCTAAATTGCAACTGCACTTTATGAAAATAAAGACACAATGTTTTCTCATCCAGGTTTACAGCCCCATAATGATCTGTAGGACTCAGATTTTTGCCAAGATTTCCCAGTAAAATTAAGAGGGCTTCCCTGAAATAAAAAATGAAAATAAAAACACCTCAGCCCTGGAAACAAAACAGCCAGATCAACCCATCTAGAACCCATTTATTTTGCCCTGGTCACCTCAACTCCCGTAACTTTCTAACAAACCGCACAGCCTTCGGAGAGATTTTTCTTTTACTGTTCCACTTTTCCTATTCCTTGAGTATTCGGCAGAAATATTCGACAGCCAAGCATGTCTCCCTGGAACCCCTCAACAATCTAGGGAAAGGAATCTGGCAAAGAGAATAAATTATAAACCACCAGAGGTAAAGTTTACATTTTTTACTACTCCTTAGCATCATTGTGGTAAGAAATTATGCAGCTTTAGCGAAGAAAAGCGTGAATAGTCCCACAAAGGAGGACTCCATCTGATCTAGTAAAAATTAAAAAAAAAAAAAAACAGGCTCTTCTACTGTTTCGCAATATATACAACTTTTAATATCTCAATCTCTAATTGGTGAAGTATTTTCTTTCTCTAGAGCACACGTAAGCCAAGAGTACCTTCTGATTGGCTAACTCTCAACAGCCCCTGCAAACCAATGGGAAAAGAAATTTTACCAAACAGAGACTATAATAACCCCTTCCTCAGACTGGCTTGAGAATTAGTTTCTTATTTAGTATGTCAGGTCGCGGCAAACAAGGCAGCAAGGCTCGCGCCAAGGCCAAGACGCGCTCGTCGCGGGCCGGCCTGCAGTTCCCGGTGGGCCGCGTCCACCGCCTGCTCCGCAAGGGCAACTACGCCGAGCGGGTCGGGGCCGGCGCGCCCGTGTACCTGGCGGCCGTGCTCGAGTACCTGACGGCCGAGATCCTGGAGCTGGCGGGCAACGCGGCGCGCGACAACAAGAAGACGCGCATCATCCCGCGCCACCTGCAGCTGGCCATCCGCAACGACGAGGAGCTCAACAAGCTGCTGGGCCGCGTCACCATCGCGCAGGGCGGCGTCCTGCCCAACATCCAGGCCGTGCTGCTGCCCAAGAAGACCGAGAGCCACCACAAGGCCAAGGGGAAGTGAAGCCTTTAAAACGGCGATTTCTATCCAAAATCCCAAGGCTCTTTTCAGAGCCACCTATTTGTCCTACGAGAACTGTGACCCGACTGGCTATAAGCTATTTCCGGCTGCGGCAGGGTGCGCGCCAAAACAGGACCCTGTCGCTTTAAGTGAAAGCGAGCCAATCCGTCGCCGGCGGCAAATTTTGAAAGATCTCTCCGTGGACTGACTGGTAACGAGTAAAACGAGCTGCATGCAGGTTCTAATATATAAACAAAATAATGGCTAAGTAAAATACTTACTAGTTACTAAGCTCTTTTGCCTGATAGTAGTGGGTGGCTCTGAAAAGAGCCTTTGAGATTTCCAAAGCAGGACATCCCGCTGTAATTTTTATTTCTTCTTAGGCGCAGCCTTCTTTGCCTTTGTCGCCTTAGGCTTGGCCGCTTTGGGCTTGGCTGCCTTGGGCTTCGGGGCTTTGGCCTTGGCTGGACTCTTGGCGGCCTTTTTGGGCTTGGCAGCCTTCGCCTTCTTCGGACTCTTGGCCACTTTCTTAGCGACAGCCGCTGCTGCGGGCTTCTTGGCCTTCTTGGGGGTCTTCTTGGCGCTCTTCTTGGGGGCGCTCGCCCCCGCGGCCTTCTTGGGTTTCTTGGCTGCCCCGGCCGTCTTCTTGGGCTTGGCCGCGCCCGCCTTCTTGGCTTTGGGCTTGGCTTCCCCCGAAACCGCCTTCCTGTTGAGCTTGAAGGAGCCCGAGGCGCCGGTGCCCTTGGTCTGCACCAGGGTGCCCTTGCTCACCAGGCTCTTGAGGCCCAGCTTGATGCGGCTGTTGTTCTTCTCCACGTCGTAGCCGGCGGCCGCGAGCGCCTTCTTGAGCGCGGCCAGGGACACGCCGCTGCGCTCCTTGGAGGCGGCGACGGCCTTGGTGATGAGCTCGGACACCGGGGGCCCGGACGCCTTGCGCTTGGCGGCAGCAACGCCCGTTTTCTTCGCCTTCTTCTTAACAGGCGTCTTCTCCGCAGGTGCGGGAGCAGCAGGAGGAACCGGCGCGGTCTCCGACATCTTCCTGCTTCGCCAACAAAGACCAAAAGTGCGCTCAAACTGTCCGAACGGCGTGCCTCGCAGACGGGCGGCTGGGGGTTTATATAGAGAGCGGCTGAGTGATGATTGGCTCCCTGCGCCGTGCGCAGCGCTGCTCAGAAGGGCTCCTCCGCTCCGCAGTGTGGCTGTGTTTCTTTCCTCTCAAAAAAGAAGAAAAACGTAAGAAATCTGGGCATGAAATAATTAGAGATTTGGGGGAAACGGATCCAAGAGTCCTCAGGCTTCATTCCTGCTTTATTTGCTATCCCTAGTTTCAAAGCCAGTACCCCGAAACTTTCCCCATTCCCCCAGCTCTCTTTAAAACTTGGCTCGCATTGAGACAACTTTCAGATTTTCCTTAAAAATGCTCTTTCTCTCTCTTTCCTTTGCACGTCTGTCTCCCAGGGCATTGTTCTGCACATTCGTTCCTTTGCAAGTTTATATAAATAAGCTCATTTTTACTCAAATATACAAGGAAAGACGCTTTTTTCGCGAGAGCAATAGCACAGCTCTCCCGCAGTTTGCACGAAGCCCTGGGAATTGGCACTGGGATAGCACATTCTACGTACAAGATGGATAACGATTTTTTTAATAGATTCATTTTTAAGTATTTGAGTGACCAGTGGGTAAACTGTGTTCGACCCCCGTGTTTTGGAGATTTAAACATTTTAGGAAGAATGGGGAATGAGGATGGATGCGCCATTCGTTTTCCACACAAAAAGTTCTAAATAGCAACTTTCCTAAAATAGTGGTAGAATAGATTTTTCAGACCTGGGACGGGCATTAGGGACCAACCACCAAATCTACAAGGAGCAAAAGGTAATCGTGAAGCTCTACAATGGTAGTTCTACCTCATTTTACCAGTTAGGAGCTGAAGAACACAAACTCATGTGTTTCTATCCCATCTCCTTAAAACTGTAAATTACTTAATGACACCCTGTCCATAAGATATGTTCCCTCCAATACTTAGCATAGAATTTTGTTTGTACATATTTCCTGTATTTCAAAATGATATTTAAAGTACAAATTTTATGTGACTCTTTTCCAGCTTCGCCAGTAAGGGACACAAGATTAGAAGGGACACGTTCTCATTTAAATCACTCTTTCTGAATTTTCATAATGTTCCCTGGGCTTTTTACTAACAGAATATGAAGTGGGCTGTCACAACCTCAATTATTTGGCGAAATATGTCCACCTAAGAAGTAGAACAAACATTTCACAGCCAACTGTGACCCACTTTACTGCTTTACTGTTGGTTTGCAACACAACAGAGCTAATGAAATTAGGTAAATATTGGATAATTAAGCACAAATTTAATATCTACTAAATAGTCAGATACTGAAATTAAACTCCATGCTTGTTAAAACAAATAAGCAAGAACAGTATTTTGGTGTTATGTCTCTTCTAACAAATACCCTTATTTCTTAAAAATTTTGTTATTCTGGTTTACATTCAATGGTAATTTAAGAATTTTCTCAAATAAATCCAAGATAAGATCATCATTTTTGAGGATGTCATCTCTCTACACTAACACTTAATTCCATAAAAGTCACTTGGCCTGTTTTTAAGTAGCCATTTATTGACTGGCACTGACTGAAACCAAGCCTCTGGGACTTGAGTCCATGTTAAAAACCAAACACAAATACTGTGTTTAGAGAGTACACTTATAGGACTGGATCTGCAGCATGCAGTTCTCCCTAAGCAGGCATTTCATGTGTGTCTAGAAGGGACCGTTTGTCATCCTCAGTAGCATCAATGTCAATAGCAATGGTCCCAGACATTACATAGGTCCTGTTCTTTTTCAGACCAGAGCCTATATTATCATCTAGACCTAAAGATAGAATTATAACTCAGATTTCTAAAAGTTTACCATTTTGGTCATCATTGTAGCCAAAACATCTGTTGTTGAAAACTCCTTGGAATTGTTCCCTAAGTTACATACACTCAATTTAAGATGGGTGACAGGATCCCACAGCGGATGTCACCATTCCATTCTTGTACAACTCTTACTGGTTTCCAGGGCTATTTAGGTTCTAAATAAGTAAGAAGACTTTGGGGCTATTTCCTTCACTGTGGGTAATCTCTGCCCTTCCTGGAGGGCAAGAATTGAGACTTGATTCCACCTGAAAAGTTCTTCCCCAGATGTTTATAGAAGGATGGGGCTTGGCTGCATATCCTTACTGCTATGGCCTGAGACCGAGGTACTTAGCCTCTCTGTACGTGTAGCATAAACAAGGTTCTGGAAAGCTGGCTCATCCCAAGGGACTGTGAACTTGAAAGGTTCCACCTATTACTTTGGTAAACCACGAAAATGTTGTGTTCCTTACTTTTGAGGCCTAAGTCTGTATACATTTTAAGACAATTGATTTTGCACTGGACTGAAACTTGCACCATTAATTTTATAGATATAAAAATAACTGAGAAAAAGCACAGTTGGATGAGTGATGGATAGCTCTCCTAGGAATTCATGTTCTCCCAATTTTGATGTCAACCTCCCTTTCATCACAGTAAACCACTCTGAAAGATCTAGGTAGCACTCACCAGGTCAGTCCATGGTGGCTGTACTTATGTGTTCCAAAATTCAGTGAATTTCAGAGTTTAAGAGAAAAGTGACTGTAAATACCCAAAAAGAGAGAAGGCAGCATAAGGGCTCTATAGCAGATAGAGCATTGTGTCGGAATCAGATGTGTTCAGAAGGGCCATGAAAAAGCACATCTATTTTAATTTCCTTTCAGATGGTCTCATCTAAGAGCACTCTCCCACTTGAAACTCCTCTCCAAAGATCTCATTTTATTTCCTATGAAGGGCAATACCGACATCAAACTTCCAATTTCCTTTTTGTATGTCCCTCTCTCTCTGTGATATCTGTTATACCCAGAGGTTGACTAATCGCTCTCATATTTCAAAAATACTCCAATCCTCACTTCCTGCAGTAAGCCTAATTTTCAAATATCCACCACACTCCCTCCCCAGTCTGCACTAGAAGTTCCTCAGAAGAAATTCACTGTCACAGAACAGCCCAATGTCACGTATGTGCAATGATGGAAGTGTTCTTTATCTGCACTGTCAAATAGACAGCCACTACCTACATGTTGCTATTTAGCAGTTAAATGTAGCTAGAGTGATGGAAGAAATGTTTGATTTGATTTCATTTTAATTACTGTACATTTAAATGAGTGCACGTGACTAGAGGCTGACGAGGGCAACACAGCTTTAAAACAATGTCTTGGGGCTTCTGGGGGGGTTCAGTCTGTTAAGCGTCTGCCTTTGCTTCGGGTCAGGATCGGGGACCCTGGGATCCAGCCACCCCCACCCCCCACCCCACCCGCCAATGAGCTTCCTGCGCAGCGGGGAGCCTGCTTCTCCCTCTCCCTCTACTCCTGCTCTCTCTCTCAAATAAATAATATCTTAAAAAAAAAAAAAAACCTCTTCTCAAACTTGAATGAGCATACCACCCACTTGGAAATACTATTAAAAATGCCATATCAATTCAGTAGACTTGGGGTCGGGCCTAAAATTCTGTGCATCTAACAAGCTCCCAGGTGAGGCTGAGGTTGTTGGAACACAGCTGCTGCACCCATTACTGCTGGATGGAAACTGGTAATCGGGGCCAATGTCTGACCCCTCACCCTGAGTTCACTTTTCTCTTCCTTCTTCTTAAGCTTTGAGTTCCTTAAAAGAACCTATATGATTGTCTTTGTAAACCGGTGTTTGTACATTGATCTTGGCATATACTAGACCCTAAGTTCTTGAATGAATGAACGAATCAGTGATTATTCTTTGATGCATGGAAGATCACTGGGTCCTAAGTCTGCAGGTAATGTAACTGAGCTAAATTTCAATAATGTCTGCCTAAAGGAAATCAATAATCGGCTGCCTGCCTATAGTGTAAGTACCAGCAGAGAAGGAATTTTTTAAATTACCTTTAATAGTACACAGAAGGGAGGCACTTATTGTGAATGTACAGAATGAGTAAATATTGGCATTTGTCTATTAAGCATATCAATGTATCATCTACGTATAGAATGTTAATTCTGCAACTCTTTTTACCTGGACAGTATTTCAGTTTATTAGCATTTATGTTTATTATTAATTCTGTTGATTTGCAAACTTTTACACAGCATGATGTATCTTCAGTTATTTTACTGACATAGATTAGTAGTAGGTGACAAGATCAGAAGACCTCAGTTCTACCCCAACAACATCACTTATTAGAACAGGATTAGGTCTCCAAGCCTGGAATTCTTCATCTCCACAATACAAATAGTGCTTTACAAATGTGGGGGTAGAGTTTGCTCCCCTTCCTAGAGTTTCCTTTTTATCAGGAATGCTGAAAACCACGTAAGTATATATGTCCTGCCAAAGGGGAATGTTCTGTGATCTGCCCCATTTAAATAAGTATTGTTAAAATTGTAAGCATTAATACTTGCATTTTTTAAAAGTCTTCACATTTAAAAATTACTTTTATTCTGTTATCCCTCGCTTTTATAGACAACCGTAGCGTCACTGCCTCCTTTTTATAAATGATAAAAGAGGTGAGGAGACTAATACAATATCAATGATCTGAGAGATCCCACAGGCACAGGACTAGTCGCAGAAACCAGCGATTCCGGCCTCTACAAGGAAAGGGGAGTCAGATGCGGCCCGCACTCCCCGCCCCCCTCCTGTCGCTAAGCCGGGGCCCCGCCGAGGAAGGTGGGAAGGGGCGGAGCGGAGGACTCGTTCCCGCCCCTAGCGCTTCAGTTTCCAAAAAGGTCCGCAAGAGTGGTATATAAAGGGCTGCAGGCCGAGCTCCGGGACTGCACTGTGACGGCTGCCTGCTGTTCGGCATGTCTGGCCGCGGCAAGGGCGGGAAGGGCCTGGGCAAGGGCGGCGCCAAGCGCCACCGCAAGGTGCTGCGCGACAACATCCAGGGCATCACCAAGCCCGCCATCCGGCGGCTGGCCCGGCGCGGCGGCGTCAAGCGCATCTCCGGCCTCATCTACGAGGAGACCCGCGGGGTGCTCAAGGTGTTCCTGGAGAACGTGATCCGGGACGCCGTCACCTACACGGAGCACGCCAAGCGCAAGACGGTCACGGCCATGGACGTGGTCTACGCGCTCAAGCGCCAGGGCCGCACCCTCTACGGCTTCGGGGGCTGAGCTTCGTCGCAAATCTGGGCGCTGCAGCCTCGCCGTCGTCCCCAAAGGCCCTTCTCAGGGCCACCCACTTGGTCACAGGAAGAGCTGTTTTCCGGAGGACAGAGGTAACACCTAATGCTTTGTCGCTGTTCCTTTTCTCGGACTCTGGCTGAACGGGCGCCCCGTTCCCCCGGCGGCTTCTGGAGACGCGCTCCGCGGCCGGTGGCGGTTGGCTAAGGTGGCGGCGCCCGGCGGACCCCGGAGAAGGAAGGCGTGCACCTTGCAGCCGCCGGGCTTGCCTCCTTCATGTGTTCTGTTCGCTCTGTCTTGGCCTTCCCACCTAGGACCTCATCCCTCCCTCCATTTCTCTGCCGGGCAGCCAGAAGAGGTGGCCTTCAGCCCACGCTCACCCAGCTATTGATGTTCTAAACGTTCTCCCTACTTGAAGACTTGGGTTTGCGTTCCTGGATGCCAGGGAAAGCACGCCCTTGTTGACCGTGGACAGTTTTCGTCTGTGTTGTGTTAAGCCCACAAGATACTGTCAATAGCTTTTTTTAACGAACTAGTGAGCTTTGTTGGCTGGCCTAATTTAACGGTAGTGCTGTAGCCCAGCGTTAAGTCTTCTTCTGGCTCCTTACTATCAATGTATATACCTGTCTCCACTTAATCCAGACCCCTATCAATTACTAGATCCTAACTATTATGTTAAATCTCCAAGAAATCTGGAGTATCCATGTCTCAGTCACTCTTCATGATTATCTGTTTTCTGTACCACTCACTAAAACACCTTTGCCATGGTTACCAGCGACCTAATTGCCAAGTCCTAAAGAACACTAGAACATCCATCTGCTGCAACTGATCTTCTTCATCCCTCCTCCCTTCGCAGTCTCTTCACAGGGTTTTTGGTACCTTTCGTCCTGACCCAGATCCTGTATTCTCCATGATTCTTCTCACTTTGCTTTTGGGGCCCTATTCCTCTGCTTGTAATTCTTCCCAGTGAACAAACTTGCAGTGTCTTCACATCAGTCCGTAGATCTTCCTTGAGTCCTCTCTTCCAGACTCTTCCAGAGATGGTGAGACATCCAGGCACCCAGGAAAAAACTGAGGATCAGCAGAACGGTAGCAGAAGGGGCCATCCCAAAATACACCACTTTGGCATAAGGATGATTTTGAGCTCAAGGCACTTGAAAAGCAGATGTAAGAATGGGGCTCTGACTTTCCCATTTCTCCCTGAAGGCAGATAACGGTCCCACGTGAAAGGAGTCATGTCTATATGAGAAGAATGCATCACTAGAAGTCATGCTGAGAGAAATCTATACAAACAGACCTTGTTAAAATAACCCTGTATCTCCTTTCGTCCCCTCCTATTTTTGTTGCTATTTCAAGATTATTATTCTTTGTTCAACCTAGCGTGTAAGCACTTAGGCCTAACCACTTTCAGGGGCTTCATGTTCCTGTGAAGACTCCCATGAGCACATAAAAATATTAAATAACATGTGTATGCTTTTCTCTTGTTACTCTGTTTTATGTCAATTTAATTCTTGGGCTCAGCCAGAGACCCTGAAAGGGTATTGGGACATTCTGCCTCTTGTACACAGCCTTCCAGCCCAATCCTCAAAGCCCTTCTGTGACTGCAGGTTCCTGCCAGATCTTTGCCTGCATCGTTCACCCCCCACCACCACCACCACAATCCCTCCACCTTGCTGCAGTCAGACACCTGAGTGATGTGCACATTTCATTATCTCATCTAGGCCAAACTACAAAAAATAAAAAGCCTTCACTGGTTCTCCTAACATCTGCAGAATAAAATCCAATTCTTGTGCTTTATGTGGCATCTGCTCACCTGCAGAATCTCCTCTTCCAGCCTGGCATCTGCTCACCTGCAGAATCTCCTCTTCCAGCCCGTCTCCCTCTCCACCACTGACTTCTCTAGGTGAATATACTTGTCATACTTGGAGCTTTCTTTTCCTCAGCAGTATCTTTTATATACACGTGTCTCCATCCTCAAAAAAAACTTCAACTTTTGGGGAGGTTTTATAAAAATGCTCTCAGGTTCTCTGGCTGGACCAAGTAAATGAGACTAAGAAAAGGCAGCCTAACCAGGAAAACAAACAGACGCTTACCATGTGCATCACATACACACGTAAAAGCCCTCGGCAATAAGGAACCCAAAGCAGAAGTTAGAGTTTGGGGTCTATGTACCTAATTTAGTAGGGGACAGGGAGGGAAGAAGGGCTCTTATGGAAAAGCAAATGACTTTTTGGAAAGATAAATGGGTCTAAAAGAATAGATGGCAGATATGATAGTTTATGACAAAGTCTGGGTGTGGTACCAACTTCTCATTTACAATGAGAGACGAATGTTGCTCCCAAGGAGGGGATGTAAAACAACTGAGTTATTTTTGAAAGGACCTGCTTTTAGGCGCAGAAAGATATCAGGAACTCAAATGCTTTCAGCCAGAATTAATTCTTATGCTTTGTATAAGTGTTTATATAAAGTGGCATATTTTGGGGTGGCAGATCCTGATCCCCTTCACTCCTTTAAGAATTTCCATCAGGAAAACTTCACCTGATTCTGCCGGACAAAATCAGTCCCTAGGACTTCCTGACATTCCAAAAGACATGCTCCACGCATGTACCTAACCCAGCATCAGCGTTCCCAATCCAACTTCAGAGCTACTACACAATTAAACAGCTCTCTAGATGCCTTGAAGGCTTCATTTTGCTATTCTCAGGACCAAGGTAATTACCAGCACCTAGTATTCACTTAGCAAATATTTGTGCAATGACTAGATGATTCAATGGAATGAATAAACTATCAAAGGTCACAAGTAAACTTTTATACAAATTCCTTTCCTTTAATAATTTTATCTGCTCCCCTAGAACTTTTTCCTCTCTTACCACTTTCTCTGACACAAATGTCAGGCTTGTGGCTACAAAGCACCATCGCAGACTTTCAGATACAGATTGTAAACTCTCAGTTTGGGATAAAAATAATTTAATGAGTCCCAATCTGCATGTATAAAATAAATATGCCTCCTGTTTCTTGTTCTCGCAGGCCTTTATTTTAAAGTCCACCTTTCAAAGAGGATAATTTTACCCAAAATTTTCTCACAAAAATGCCACTGTCATAGGCTCATATGTAATCAAAGTGAGCCAGATTTCTATCACTATTTAATGGAATAGTCATATGTTGCTATAGAATTCTTAAGCTTTATTTTGCTGGCATGAGATAAGAGAAAGAAAATAAAAGAGGGATTAGCAGGATTTTTTTTTAAAGATTTTAGTTATTTATTTGAGAGAGAGAGAATGAGAGACAGAGAGCATGAGAGGGAAGAGGGTCAGAGGGAGAAGCAGACTCCCTGCTGAGCAGGGAGCCCGATGTGGGACTTGATCCCGGGACTCCAGGATCATGACCTGAGCCGAAGGCAGTCGCTTAACCAACTGAGCCACCCAGGCGCCCAGGGTTTTTTGTTTTTTTTTTGGTTCATATTTGATTTAAGTGTGACGCCAAAAAAAACTATTTCTTGGGGTGCCTGGATGGCTCAGTTGGATGGGCATCCAATTCTTGATCTCAGCTTGGGTCTTGATCTCAGGGTCATGGGTTCAAGCCCCATGTTGGGCTCCACTCTGGGTGTGGAGCCTACTTGGAAAAAAAAAGAATGTTTCTTTAGTTCTGTAACTAGGCTTGATCTTTTCTACAATGTAAACTTTCCTAAAAATGTATGGTATTATGTTTTTAGCATATTCACTGATACAGTATGAAAAAGTTATTGCAACAGATCTTTTATGAAAATATTTGATCATCCAAATTAATCCAAATTTATTTACTCTGAGTGAAAATGGTATGTTTATTCAGAGTTCGTGACTGCACTTCCGAAGTTTGGATTTACCTATGTTTGTTGTGGGAAACAAAGGCAAAAGAACAGTTAAATCTCCTTACTACGTACAGCCCACTGACAAGTCCTTGAAACAGGCAGAGTGACCTTCCTCTGGGAGCTCAGCTGCCTTGATGTTAATACTTTACTAAGGGCAAAAGGCAATCCTAGCCGGACCTCCAGAATCCTGTAAGTCTACTTTAACACATAAAATTCCTTTGGAAACTTCCTTTGTCTCTACCCCCCCCCCAAAAGATACATGTTGGCCATCATCCTCCAAGCATATGACCCACTGATATACATCTGAAGAGTCCCGTGACTGAGTTGTTACTAAACAGTAATAAATGACCTTTTCCTAACAACAGCTAGGTCCTGGAGACTAGAGACTTACGCTGTCCCTAACCCCTCCCAACCTGAAAGTACGTAACAGGCTACGTACTCATGACCCCAGCGCATCTCTTTCCACCCACAGGTCCTGTCTGCGTGCTTTAAGAAAACCACTTTTTTTTTGCACCAAAGACGTCTCAACAATTCTTTCTTGGCCTCGCCTTCGAGCCCTAACATCTTTCCTACATCATATCCATTGATGTGGATTTTTAAAAATAGTATAGTATAATATATAGAAAATATCAAAGTACCATCTCATGTAATAAAAATATCACGTCATAAAATTTTAGTTTCAAGTATGTATGTTTTTGTTTTGTTTTGTTTTTATTGTGGAACTTGGAGTTTGCAAACTACGGATCCATTTGTTTCTTTCATGCATTTGTGCGGTTCCCACGTTAGAAGGGCTCCACATATCCCGGCTTCCGGGCTGCAACTGCCAGCCTCCCTGGCAGCTAAAATGGGGATGTGTGGCCAGGCTCCACGGATCAGCCTCACCTTGGAAAGACTTCTCTTCAAAGTTGCCGGACGGGACAGCAGAGGCCAGAGCCTCACTTCGCTGGGAGCGGGGCGGACAGAAGCGTCCAGGCTTTGATGGTGGAAGCAGCCCGTGGCGTCCAGGGGGTCGGGCGCCCGGGGCGCGGTAGGCCGGCTCCGCAGCATGCTTTCGGCTTTTGTCCCTGGGAGCGGCTTCAGGCCTGGTTCCACAGCCCCTCCCCAGGACGCGGGCCGTCTGTCTACCACTGAAAACATCACCTCTCAAGTTTGATCAGCCAGAGTCAGCCTTTCTTTTTGCAACTAAGCACTTGGAGTTTAAAAAAAAAAAAAAAGGTATTAAATGGTTTTAAATACTTTCTGGTAGAGTTTGTGTATTTTAGGTGCTTAAAGTTGCTTCCCAACAGTGATGTGTAAGGAAGGTAAAATTAGCAGGAGAAAAACAATACAAATTCTACTTTCCATGTGCACAGGAGTCTTCCCAAGAAAATGAAGACCCAAAGACGTGGCTAGGCCTGCGAACTTACAGCCTAGGTTGCATGAAGAGAGGAAATTATGGAACAGTGACTACAATGATATAGGGAAGCTGAAGGAAGGTAAGGGTTATTTTAATGAGATCCGTTTTTACAGATTTCTCTCCATCTCAGTTCGCGTCTCTGGTGAGAAGAATGTTCTTAACCTCCTGGTGCAGGTGGGGACACCTTTCACATGGGAATTTCATCTCCTGCTTTCTGGAAGGAAAAGGAAGTTCAGAGCACCCTTCTTGCATCGACTGTTTTTCAAGTGCCTTTAGCTGAAAATAATCAATATTCTGATTATCAAGTGCAATTGATTTGATCTTCGATATCGAAGTGGCATATACTGGGGTGTCATGCTCTGGACCCCCACAGTTGCAGAAAGGCTTCTTTCCTTGCTGTGGCCTTGGCAGACTGAATACCCTGGCCCAGCCCGCCCACAAAGATGCCCATGTCCTAATCCCCAGAGCCTGTGAGTATGTTAACTTACTGAAAAGGACTTTGCAGATGGGATGAAATGGAGGGTGTGGAGATGAGGGGATGATTTGAGATCATACAAGTGAGCCCCAGGCAACGCGAGGATCCTTATGAAAGGAGGCATGAGAGTCAGAGAAGTGACCGTGAAGAGACTGAAGCAATGTGCTTGGCTGACACAGGAAGGGGCTACGTGCCAAGGAATATGGGTGACCTCTAGAAGCTGAAAAGGGCAAAAAAAAAAAAATCCCTCTAGATCTTCAGAAAGAAATGCAGTCTTAAACAACTTCATTGTAGCCCCTTAGATGCATTTTGAACTTCTGACCTCCAGAAGTGAAAGCTTAATAAATTTCAGGGTTTTTTTCTTTTAAGCAACTAAATTTGTGTTAATTTGATAAAGCAGCCACAGGAAACAAATACAAGACTAATAATCTAATTGAAGTAGCCTTAACCTTCGTCATAGTGTGAAAATTTGACTTGAGATTTTACCTGGGAACTTAACCTACGTTTGCCATAGGAAAGCCTAGTTCCCAGAGTAAAAGGCATAATTATTTTATCTCTAAGATGCGCAGCTTGGATTCTTAATCAAATCAATACTTAATCTCCTATGTGACAAGCAATGAGGTGGACTCTGTTCCCAGATAGTAAAGATCATCGAGGCATCGTGGTGAAAAAACAATATATTGTATTGGTAAAAGTCCAGACAAGACCAATGGAATATAGTATAGAACCCAGAAACCCTCATACCTGGGAGCACTCAATATGGGGTAGAGAAGGCATAACAGACCTGCAAGGAACATAAGATGCCTTCTGGAAATGACACCTGCAAAGCTGGAGATCCACATGGAAAAACGAATGAAATTAAAACTTCACCCTGAGACGACTAAAGACTGAAACGTGAAAGGCAAAACATAAACTCCTAGAAAATAGCATAAGTAAATACCATCATGACCTTGGATTAGAGAAGGAAATTTGTAAAATAAGACAGGAAAAAGAAAAAAGGAAATAAAGTAAAAGATGGGTAAATGTGACTGTGTTAAACACAAGGGGTTCCGTTTATATAGGCAATCGTGTAAAGAGCAAAAATACAAGCCACGAAACCGAAAAAGATATAAAACTGACAGAGTGCTAGGATCCAGAATATAAATCAATACCTATTTAAATCAATTTAAAAAGGTTGGGGGGGGGATGGTATAGAAACTGACCAAAAACTTGTTCAGGAACTTCACAAATGAGAAAAACCAAATGACAGACAAATATGTTACATATATGTGGCACAGGGGCACCTGGGTGGCTCAGTGGGTTAAGCGTCTGCCTCCTGATTTCAGCTCAGGTCTTGATCTCAGGATCCAGCCCTGCATCTGGCTCCATGCTCAGCGGGGAGTCTACTTGAGATCCTATCCCTCTGCCTCTCCTCTCCTCACACTGTCTCAAATGAAAAAAAAAAATATATATATATATATATATATATATGCGGAACAGAAGAGAAAGTCACAACATGGATCATCCCTATGTGACCGCCCCATCTTCCGACTGCAGGGGTCCCGTTCTAGCCTAACCAGAATCACATGCCCTAAGGGAGCAGCTAATCCCCAAATTGTTGGCAGGAGGACAAATGTGCTATTAAGAGAAAAAGGTAGAGCAGGGATAAATGGATAACTGTTGAACATAAAGCTAGAGATGAAAGACCATGGACTTTTGGTCCTCTAGGCCCTGGAATGATTCCCTGCATTTAACTTTCTCAGTATTTAATCTCGGAGAGTTTGCTTAACTTCTCAGCCTCACTTTCTTGTCTCTAGGTGGGGGCATAGGCTCTGGACAGGCTGTTATGAAGATAAACTGAGACCAGACAGACAGAACAAGTCTTGTACTCCCAGCATAAGTGAATCAGATCATTGCACAAAAGACTTACAGGCCCCAATTGGCATCAATTCAAAACGACATGGCACAGTCTGAATGTTGTATATAAACAATTAAGAACCTACAATAGTCATTGCTGTGAAATCCCGGGCTTTTTATTAGGTAAATTGTTTCAGATAATAAGGCTTTCTTTGGCGTGGAATGCTTGGTCACAGTAACTCGCACTTTTATTATACTTTAAAGTTCAGAATGTGTACGCAAAGTATCTAATCGGGTCCTCACAACAACATTGTGAGGTAGGTAGGGTGATCTATCCTCTTTCTACAGGCGTTCAGACATGAAGTGACTTGTACAAATTCACTCAGGTAACAGCTATCCTCTGTGGCTCGGATTACTCCTCGGAAACAGACCCAGGATGCCACTCTAAAGAGGAGACATTGATTTAATGCCACTGATATAAAAGAAGATACAG